ATCCCTGCCTCCCCAGGCTTCCCAGGGAATCCATCCAGACCTCTCTCTCCCTGCAAAAGAGAAAAATAAATGAAGACCAGGCAAGTGGTCACCAGGCAGCAGCTGACTGGACATCCTTGTGGTCCCTGATAGGAAAGGGACCAGCAAGCAAACGCCCTCAGTGACTGATTGTGCTCAGCGCCTCTCTCCCGAGGCACCTTAGGAGAGTCAAGCAAGCACACGCCACCAGAGCTGGTACACAGGTCAAAGGCAGAGAAGCCAGTTTCATGTCTCTGCTCTCACTTCCCAAATCAGGGACCAAAAGAGGGCCATGCAGCTTCTTCTATCTCTTTTTCTTTCTGTTCTTTCTTTTTCTTTTTTGTAGTTACTTTAGGTGATTTGGTTTTTTGTTTGTTTGTCTTTGAGAATTTTCCTACAGGGCACATACGATTGCTGGAGAGACAGAGAGAGACAGAAAGACAGAAAGCAGGGAATCAATTCCCAGGGGGATGGTCACACTGCAACGCCTTCTCCTCCATTCTCTTCTCGGGATCTTGGGCATGCGTGCACATGCATCGGCTCTGAGTTTTAAGTCACCAGGTCCAGGACTCAAACTGCAGTTGACTACATGGGAGTCCAGTGACATAACCATTACACCATCTACTAGACCCCCTTTTAATTGGGACGATTAAAATAAAACTTCCTGAACTTCTGGAAATGTTCCACCTTTGATATGAATGATTGTCTTTGAACCACACTCTCCTCATCAATAGGTCTCCCCGGAGGGTCAAAGAAATGGACGAGCTGAGTTTGTAATGCAGGTCCTGAAAATACAGATTTTATGCACCATTCACTCATCGGACAAGGATGTCTGAACACCCACTGTGTTCCCGGTGCTTGGACTAGACCGAAGGTGAGCTGGAGGCTAACAGGTCTGCCATCACACACCCACCCCAGGTCCGGCCCTCTGCCTGCACACAGAGGGAGCTTAGTGTTGTTCTAGCCGTGGGATCTTGGGCAAGTCACCTCCCAGAGACTGCTCTGCTCGCTATGACTCGTGGGATGATGGTAACCCCTTGATCGAAAGCTACTCAACCAGAAGAATGAGAGCAGTGTCTCAGACCCTCCCTAGCCTAGGTCGTCAACCTCCCCCAGCAGCGCCAAAGCCCACATCATTTGTGTGCTCGACTTAGTGTCTGTGTTCCATGTCGGAGTCCCCTTCCAGCTGGGGTCCAAGAGCTCAGTGGGGAAAGGCAGAGACTCCAAGAAGTGAATCCACGCTAATGTTCACTGTCGGCCCCTTCTCCGGGCTCCTCGGACGCAGCTTCTCCTGGCTTCTCTGTGCAGGGCTTACTGTCTGCTCCTCGGACCTGCAGGCTCAGTCTAAATGTCACCTCCTCCTCTCTCATTTAAGGCAAAGGCCCTGCTCTACTCCAGCATGGCCTCATTTGCGTCTCTCATGTCCTCATCCACACTGACTTCCCCACGGTCTCTCTACCTGTCACTCGTCCAAGGGCACTCTACTTGTCACTCACACCAGGGCACGGGGTGCCACCCTACTTGTCACTCCCATGAGGGCAGAGGGTGTCCATCCTATCTGTCACTCACACCAGGGCACAGCAGTGCCCACACTACATGTCACTCACATGAGGGCAGAGGGTGTCCATCCTATCTGTCACTCACACCAGGGCACAGCAGTGCCCACACTACATGTCACTCACATGAGGGCAGAGGGTGTCCATCCTATCTGTCACTCACACCAGGGCACAGCAGTGCCCACACTACATGTCACTCACATGAGGGCAGAGGGTGTCCATCCTATCTGTCACTCACACCAGGGCACAGCAGTGCCCACACTACATGTCACTCACATGAGGGCAGAGGGTGTCCATCCTACCTGTCACTCACACTAGGGCACACCAGTGCCCACCCTACGTGTCACTCCCATGAGGGCACAGGGTGTCCA